TTTTAAAAAATTTATTATTGTTATTATGATTATAAGTTGTGGTTAATCCTCACCGAAGATATATTTTCCATTGGTTTTTAGAGAGAGTGGAAGGGAGGAAGGGGAAGAGAGAGAAACATGGACGTGAGAGAGGCATGTTGATTGGTTGCCTCCCGCACATGCCTTGGCCAGGGCTAGGGATCAAACCTGCAACCCAGGCACATGTCCTTGACTTGAAATAAAACCCAAGACCCCTTGGTGCACGGGGCAACGCTCTCACCACTGAGCCATGCCGACCAGGGCAGGATCCTCTCTTAATGGTTGTCTCCCCTCACTTTGCATATAATAGTTATGTTAGCTAATGCTTGTCAAATATTTACTGAGAGCACTGATGTGTTAACTCATTTCATCCTTGCATCACTCCTGTGACCTAGGTACTACCATTCTTCCACATTACAGGCGAGAAAACTGAGGAACAGTGGGTAATGTTCACATGAAAGGCACCCATGATATATCTTCTCAGTAAAGATGCAGTGCACATATTCTGAAATCAGTGTGTGTTGGGAGGGGGTTCAGAAATGGTTCAGATATTTTTATGGATTCAAATCGTTTCCTGTTTTGAGGTTAATGTAGAATTTCACATAATTGGAAGAGACATGGCTGGGGCATGCAGAGGCCTGTTTTATTGATGTTCATTGGATGTCTTATTATTTTGTTTTTATTTTCAGACATCACTAGTTAGTTATACAGGAAAGCAAAGGAAAGTAGAAAATGGAGGCACATATTCAAATTATTATGGCAAACTCTTCCCTCACCCACTATACTCCCACAAAGTCACCTACATTTTGGTCTCTTTACTACGTATCTCCATACACTTTTAGAGCATCAGCCTTGAAGTCTGAGCAACTTGAAAGAAAGAAAGCCGTTTCTTCAAGAAAAAGAAAAAAACTGGCAGCATTTGTTGCTAATGAGAAAATCCCAGTCTTCAAGCCCCGATCTATCACTTACCAGTGAATTATTTAACTCTCTGTCTTACTTGAACAATCAGGATGGCGGTAAGACTCCATGGAGTGGATACAAGCACTAAATAAGATATAAAGTGCCCTGACTGGTTTGACTCAGTGGATAGAGCATCAACCCACAGACTGAAGGTTCCTGGGTTCGATTCCGGTCAAGGGCATGTACTTCGGTTGCAGGCTCGATCCCCAGCCCTGGTCTGGGCGTGTACAGGAGGCAACCAATGTGTCTCTCTCACATCGATGCTTCTCTCTCTGACTCTCCCCCTTTCTTCCATTCTCTAAAAGTCAATGGAAAAATATCCTTGGGTAAGAATTAACAACAAAAAAAGAAATAAAGTATTATATATAGTGCATGGTGTGTGCTAGTGTTCAGTAAACATTGGCTTCTATTAAAGCTGCATCAAGTTAAAACAATCAGATTTATTTTTTATTTTCTTCCCGAGTCATTTTTATTTTTATTTATTTATTTTTAAATATACTTTATTGATTTTTTACACAGAGGAAGGGAGAGGGATAAAGAGTTAGAAACATCGAGAGAGAAACATCAATCAGCTGCCTCCTGCACACCCCCTACTGGGGATGTGCCCGCAACCAAGGTACATGCCCTTGACCGAAATTGAACCTGGGACCCTTCAGTCCGCAGGCTGATGCTTTATCTACTGAGCCAAACCAGTTAGGGCTCGTTTTTATTTTTAAATTTAACCAAACACGTGAGTCAATTCCACACACACACACAAAAACATTCAACCTGAGCCCCAAGAAAATACTCTCTAAAAATTAGACTTATTCATTGAAATACTAAGTTTTGAACAAAAATTCTCATTGCTCCAGTTTTTCTCCAGGGAATAAACGGGAATAGTTGCTCAGTGGTTAAAAATGCACAGAATAACACAAAAATACTGTACAAGTACCTCTCAAAGCTTACTACTTAAAAGCAGCTTATCAGCACCAATGCCAAGGTACACAAGGCCATCTGTGTCCCCGACACATTGAAATCCAAGCCATTGAATGATGACTTGATCATTATGCCATTAGCATCACACCTCATCTGTAAAGTCAGATCATTTTCCAAATTGAAGCACTACTACCAAGGCTTTGAAGAGGAATAATGGGAATTCAGGTGATAGGCAGGCTATGAAAAGCAGACAAGGGAAAAAGAAGCCATAATAGATAGTGATCACGAGATTTAAAAAAAAAAAGGAGAAATGTTCCGGAAAAAGTTGTGAAAGACTCTGGGAGCCTATTAGTGGGATATAATGAGGGTATTTTTACATTTTCCAGATAATTTTTCATTTCCAGTAATGACCGCGTCCCTGTCGTACATATTGGCATAGTTCTCTATCTTGTGTGAACAACCAAAGCCCATAAGACCTTTTCCGAACCTTTTGATCACCAGGCTCTCTCCTGTGACATCCCTTATCTGTGCTTTGGAAGGTGTGTCTATAAACAGTAACTGGGCTTCTTTCTTCCTGAACACAGAGGTAATATTCACAAAACATTCAAAGGGCCAGCGAGGTCCATCCGTGCCACCTTTGGGCCACTTTCCCAGAACATTTCCCTCCACTCAGGTGACCGTCAGTGTTATTGCCTACATCCATCTGTAAGTATTTTGCAAATGAGCAAAAAATAGCACCAGCTTAGGGCGAGAGGTGGTGGAAGGAGGGAGTTGATGTTGCTTGTTCTCAGCGAGGGGGTAGCAGCTCCATGGAGTAAGGAGCATCTGATGATGCTCATAATTAACCTGAAAAACCTCCTGCCACAAACAGGCTACTGCAGCAGCCTGCCTGTCCATTCCATTCCAGGAATTCCAATTGCTGTTTTGGTTGTTATGGAAACTGACCACACTGCTTCTTAAAGAATTCATTATTCCAACAAATATTTGTTGTTCTAGTCATTATGGGGCATTTAAATGAGCGATGCAGACACGAGGGACAGAGGAGCTTGGGGGTGGAAGGCTGGTGATTAGAGAAGACTTCACAGGGAGTTAGGACTCAAACCCCTCCTGAGGCATGATTAGCTAGGGGAGAAGACAGTGCAAGTAAAAAGATTGGCAAAAGCAAGAAACATTCAGATAATAATGATGCAGGAGGGGTTGGAGCAGAAGACTTGGGGTGCAGGGGGAAAGGGGAAAGACACATTGAGGCCAGTAGGGAGAGGGCTTTGAAGGCCAGTCTAAGGAGTCTAGACCTTTCTGTGGATAAAAGGGAACTAATAAAAGGGCTCTAATAAAGGGAACTGTGAAACCAGGGGAGAGTGCCTTAAGGACATCCATTTTATCTTATGACTAACAGTGAGGATGTCACCCTACCCTCTGCTAATGCTACATAACACTATAGCTCCACTGTGGTTCTGGTAGAGGCCAAGGTAATAATTTAAAAACTAAAAAAAAACCTAGGCATCTTCTCATCTAGACAAAACCACACTTGTTTCACTGACATCAACGGACTCTTGTTTATGAAAACTCATCAAAACTGCTCTCTATGACATCCTGAGTATTTTCATGAGCTCAAATTGACCTGCAATAATAACACAGCCCCCAAACATCATTCTGCCATCTGACGAGATGTGTTTGGAACCAAAGCCTTAATTTTCAAGCAGAGCTCAGTAAGTACCCTAGAAGAAGAACTATTATTTTCCCTCAGATCACAGTGGCTTTGTACCTTTTACTGCCCACACAATAAGCTGAAATATTTTTTTTTTTACTGGAATAGTGACTGGCCATTAAGTTGACATACTGGAGAGGTTGTTTGGATAGAAGAAAAGCCTTTTGCTCAGAGCAGCAGTTCTGAGTGTGATCTGTAGACCTTCTCGGATCTCAAGCTTTGTCTGACGCCAAAGATTTTATATCGTGCTATTTGACCTAAAGGGCACAGGATTGAGGAATAGGGGAGCTGAAATCTTTAGTTATCCTAGACAGATAGAAGTGACGTTTGAAAATACATTTCAAAATTCAATGGTGAGTGCTAAACAATGGGTACATATGAAATAACATTCATGTTAGAGACAGTAACAACAACCACAAAATGTGCGGTATTATTTTTAGAAACCTTTTCTGCACTGTATTTTTAAAAATGCAGATGTCTAAAGGATCATTCCTTGGATTCCTGAACACCAAGTTTAAAGGGGCTCTCCTCATCTTAATTTGGCCCCTAAGATAAAAGCTAAACAGAAAGTATAATTTATCGCATCTTGGCCTTGATGCCAAGAAAACTGAGTAAAGTTTATGGGGAAAGGAAAATTTTCTTTGAAAATATGATGTGTTTCTCTTTGGTAAGGAGTAGAAACAATGCACTTTTACTTTCTGGAAAGAATGCAAAATAAGTTTGGCAAGAATCCATCCAGATCCCAAGGTCAAGTCAACTAGAGGCAAGTAAGTCAGATATAGAACCCAGGTTGGGCTCAAGAATTGTTGCTGCTTAACACATGTTCTTTTGGCTGGAATTCTTCCCTTCTCTCACTCCCCATAAATCCCTTCAGTCATCCCATCTCTTCCTTCAGTTCTTTGCTTAAATGTCACCTCCAAAGGAAACCTTCCCTAATTATGCGGTATAAACTAAAAACCCAATTCTACCCCAACTCCCCCATGTAAGTTTTTCTATTTCAGCTCTTTGTACCCTTTCTAATTTTGTGATAAAACTTTGATTGGTTTTTTTTTTTCATCTAAGATGGAAGCTCTGAGATCCCTGTACATTGCCCAGCATGGGTCCAACACCCAGTAAGGATTTGGCGGGTGACTGAATGTGGGAGACAGTCCAGGGTAATAACCCACACAAACTAGTGCTGAAGTGGGAGGGCCCATTGAGAACACTCCGTTGTCTGTGCTGAAAAGATACAAATCCAAACGCAATATAAAACTGCAAATGAATGCAGCAATCCGAAAGCCTCTGGGTGTTATCTTAACTAAAAAGGAGGCAAGACTTCAGAGGGTGAGAAATGAATAGCCTTTCCCCCTACCAAGTTATTATTAGCAATTGCATTAGAAAATTGAGGGCTGTTACTCACCAATCATGAAAATAATTTTACACTTCCTCAAATCTTCCATGAAACCTTTAAAGTAAGAATAATTGAAGTTATTGGCGGGAAGTACTGTATTGAAACCCTGGTTTTGCTCATGTTACGTAAAAACCAAAATCTTGTAGTTTTACTTGATAAGAAGCTTGAAGATGAGTAAGTGTGTTAATAGTCCATAATGAAATGTCACCAGTGACCATTATGGCCTATTCCTAGACCCAAGTAACATATTTTCATTTAAACATGAATGATCACCTTTAGGTAGTGAAACTAATAAGCCATTAAATAACATTAATCACAAATAAAGATAATTTTTAAGAAATTACTTAAAAATTTCTCAAGTGTCTCAGTTGTGAGTTACTTCATATTTTTAAACATTTACTAATCTCTCTTTGATAAAGAGAGTCTGGAAGACAATAGTTTACAAATAGTTCCTATGTACAGAAAAATAATGCTATTTTCCATTTAAGGTAGTGATATAAAATTTATTTTAAAAATAAATGTATATAAAAAAATAATAGTGAGTCAATTTAGTGAAAAGTATTCTGTAAATAATATATGGTATAATAAGTAGTATAGAGATAAAGCAAAAATCACAAAGGTGACAAGTGAAGACTGAATTTTGGGAACCACTGCTTTAAGGCAAAGGTATGATTAGACATCTTGGCAAAGTGGAAAACCCTCTAGAGTTTGTGGAGCCCTAACAGATGCTCAGTTGTCACGTACTGTAGTAGGCAGCCAGGAGGGATGGGTAGACATGAGCTCCATTTTTTATCCTGCTGTCACCTGACTTGATTTAGGCAAATGACTTCTTTTCCTTGCACCTCAGTTTCCCCATTTGTAAAATAAAGGTGTTGGACCCAATGGTCTCTAATTGGTTCAAATACCCATGATCTGTGGTTCCTGTAAATGAATAGACCACATGAGGAAATGACCCCCTTTGTCCCTGGGCCTTGATTATGACGCCGTTTGTTTAAGATATCTTCCTAAAGTAAACCAAAATCCTAAGACCGTGGGTGAGAGTGAGGTCCCCTGAAGAGGTGGCCACAACCAAAATCTGGAACTGGGAATGGCTCTGGGACCTCCAATCTCGAGGCTCAGAAAATGCCAGTGGTTACTGCTTGAGTCTGGAAGCAGAGGTGCCTCAAATTAGAAATACGGTTAGAGTGAGGATCTGAGGGTAGAGAAAACAGGAGTCCTACCCACGACTGCTTCAGAGAGGAGCAAGGACAAATATTGCGCCTTTGCTTAAGGCCATCAGGCTTCATTTATGAAGATTAGACTTTACATGCAATCAGGAGTTGAACCTGTTACCACATGGTGAGAGTTAGCAGGCCGCTTACTCAACTGGGCCAGGGCAGGGGCAGCCTTCTGCCCTGGACCTGGAGCTTTTGGGCAGGCCGAGAAGGTGTGGGCTCGTTCAGGATGCTGTGAAGTTCAGAGTGGGATTCAGTACAAGCTGCTTTGGGAGACACTGCTCCGATCTACAGGCCATCCTGGGCAAATGGGGATGGCAAAAGCTCAAACCACAGGCCTTAGGAGAGTCAGAGAAACTCACCATGTTCAAGTCCTTCTCCGACTGGCTAATCTCTGAGCAGCTTGGTCTCACACCCATGCGGGTGGGGGTGGGGATGGCAGGCTGATTCCACAAACAAGAGCTTCCAGAAAGGTTTCTTTGTTATGCTTAGGCAAAGGCCGAGCAGAGATTCTAAACCAGTGGGTGGGTGTGGACGATGGTACCAAGAGTTAACATTCAAAGTCATGTTTTCAGAGCACCAGACTAGACAAACAAAACAACATGGAAGCTGAATCCTTCCCTCAGCTGGACAGATGTGGCTACAGATAGAGTAGGAGAAGACAATTTTGAATACTTTATTATTCTTGCTAACCCTATCGCTAAGGGAGATACTTTACAAATTGCAAGATACATTGACTAGACAGTAATATATTGCAATGTAAGATACTGTGATTTGTTCCACTTCATGAAAAATTTGCATGCAGTTTGAAAGTAAAGACACTGAAGTTCAAAGTTATTGGTGTTTTTGTTGGAGCTCCAGGCCCCTGGGGTGTGTGGGTTCCTGGAGCAGCCCTCTCAGTGGGGAGAGCCTGGAGAGGGGGGCAGGATGGAGTCAGCCCTGGGCTCCTAGTCTAGGTGGAGCTCCAGGATCTTTTCCTGGTTCAGAAATAACTGCTTTTGCTCATCCTATGGGTGTGAGTTGACTAAAGTGACAGGCAGAATGTAATGACCTGGATAGAGAGGAGAAGGTTTTTATCTCCCATCTTGGTGACAAAATTACAAGTTTTACATTTTAAATAAACTGACAGGACTCTGATTTATACTTCATGCCTTATGTAGATGCTCAGTACTTTGGAAAGTTAGGTCGTTTTTCTGAGTTATAAAACTTTTAGTGGAATTGGGGTAATTCATTTATATACTCAATTCTACCTTTTGCGGGAATCCACTATGAGCTGAGTGAAAGCCTAACAACAGTGGGGGGGGAGAGAGAGAGAGAGAGAGAGAGAGAATGGACGTGAAGAATTGGGTTGGGGATAGAAGGGAAACAAGGTAGAGGAGAAAGAGCTGGAAACAGAGGAAAAAGTGAATTTGGGGTCTTTGAAGTAATTTCTTTTTTATACTGAAGGATGATTTTTGTTGTTGTTCTTTTTAATCAGAGATGCCCCAGTCCCTTCACAGAGTAGCCCATGGAGACTGGCAGAGTCCTATGTAATCTGGAGCTTTCTATTCAAGGCAAGAACACTCGGTGCTCTTAACCTGTGGGACCAGAGGGTCATCTCACGTCCTCTGGACTTCCAGTTAACTTTATGAAGCTGAGCATCTTTTAATTTATTTGCAATCTAGGAAAGTGGCCCTGATTATTATTATTATTATTTTTGGTATAGCTGATCCTATTACAGTTTTTAAAAATAGTTATTTTTTGAAATTAATAATGGTACATTCATGTAATGTAGTCATTACAAATTAAGGTTATAGAGAGTTTTGAATGGCATGGGAACATGCTTATGATATGCACAAAAATTGGAGGTAATATTTGTATATACATGTGTACTCTCAACTCTGTGAAAATAGGTATATAAACAACACTCTGGAATAAAATGTACTAGAAATGTTAACCATGATTACTTAGAGTCCATAAGGTTTTAGATGATTCTAAATTTCTACTTTAAAAAGTTTTCCATAATGAATGTGTTAATTTTATAACCAGGAAAAAAGGGCAACTTTATTAGGCAATCAATCAATCCCTATCCAGGTGGGTCTGAGTTCATTATTTGCACTTGACTCATGTTTATGTGCCTTTCCCCATGAATCCCCATGATGCCATTTGGTGACTGAGATTTTCACATACTGCTATTGCCATTATCAAATGACACTTTATCTATCACCTCATGCTCATGGATTAGTGCAGGATTAGAGTTGGGGCTATTTAGAAAGCCAACTCACTTGTATGTATTCATAGTCAATACAAACATATTTCCATGGACTATAATGATAACATTTATTACAGAGTGATAATGTTAGGAGGTATTTTACTTAGGGCAAGCATGAACCTTATCTGTTTTGAACAATCTCAAGTTCAGATAATGTAATCTATTTTCAGTTCCATGTGTACCTAATTGTGGTTGGATTTTTTAATTTTTATTTTTAGTTTTAGTTTTCTAAAGACTTTGAATGACAAAAATTATAAAGCAGTATAATTTGGGTGTTTCTTAGGTTGCATCCAATGATACACTGCAGAATAGTAACTACTATCCAGAAAAAGGACTTGTGTTTTCAAAAACTGAAGAACGCTTTATTAACCTTAGCTAGCTCTCTCTGCTGCAGGACTTGCGGGAGCCTTGCTGTGCTGTTCTATATGCGACTCTTCTGAAGGCGATTGAGTGTTAGTGTTTCCCAAACATATTTTCCCAGAGCATCCTCTTCTCATTGAGTGTCTCGGGGTCATGTTCTCTGGGCTGGAGGAAGTGCATCTCTTAGGCATCCCTTTGCTTCTCCACATGGACCCAGAGGGGAGAGATGCACAGAGTTCCCCTCTTAACTGTGTTCTCTGGCTAAGGGAGAAGTACATGTTGCTGGTAGTTTATTATCTCTTTGCTGGTGATTAATAAAAAAGACACATTCTAAGCCACTCAAGTGACAAGTTTGCTCAGTAAAGAAAACTCACCTCCTGTGGGGTCCTCTCCAAATACATTTAACTGGTCATCGCCCTGTTTATAGAAAAATAAAAATATTAGATGATAAGACTAACAAGTATTGTGTTAAACTTCTTCTTTCTGTGTGTGTATGTGTTAAGCTTCTTGCCAACATTAACATACTTAACCTTCCAAACAACTCTATGAGGGAGGCCTATTATGACCCACCTTTACAGATGAAGAAACTCAGAGTTTGAGAAGTCAACCTGTGCACGGCCACAGAGTGGCGAGGAACAAGCCCAGATCTCCTCAGAGTTTATGCTTGTTTCTTAACCTGTTCAATATCCTGCCTCATTTTCTTGGCGCATAACCTATTTGTGATCAGAAAAGCTGATTTCAAGAAGCAAAACCTTCCAGGATCCGAAACTCAGATAGGGAAGTCACAGCTGTTTCACAAACAACTCTAACTGAAAGCTGGCCTTGGCCAACTTTCTGTAAAGGGCCAGGCAGTAAATGCTTTCAGCCTTGTGAGCCATATGTCTCTGCAGCTATTACATACGGACCAAACCTTGCCAATCTCTGAAAACGAAAGCATGAAATAAGGCAAGTTGGGACGAACAGCTTTGATTGATGACTGCCTTTTAAATTTCCGTATTATTTTTTAATCAGACAGCTACTCCATTTTCCTTATAGAAGAACCCATGGTGTTCGGAAAAAATCCTGAAAAAAATTATATAAAGGCATTTGGTGAGAATTTTCGATCCCACCTATGTCTCCATCCATCCCATCTATCCACTTCCTCACCCCTTATGGGTAACCACTCATAGAAGTTTATTTTATTTTTTTGTATTTTTCCAGATACACAGAAAAACCTCTTTCAGATATCCATGGATACACTTGGCTATAAACATATAATCTTTATATTTCCACTTTGTACATAGAAAGAAGCATACCTATATTGTACATGCAAATGTGTTTATATTGACATACTAATCTATGCTGTTCTTCCCCTTGCTTTAAAAATATATTATTTTATTGATGGGAGAGGAAGACAGAGATAGACACACCAATAATGGGAGTGAATCATTGATCAGCTGCCTCCTGCATGCCCCACACTAGGGATGGAGCCAGGAATCAAACTGTGACCTCCTCATTCATAGGTCAATGCTCAACCACTGAGCCACACTGGCTGGGCTTCCCTTGCTTTTTTACATATCAATATTTCCCAGACAACGTTCCATATTAGCACAGAATGTTCTCGGTTGTACAATATTCTATTGTATGGACAGTCCCATAGTTGCTCCTTTATGATGGACCATTGAATTGTTTTCAATCTTGGACTATTTTTGAATAATTAGTATAACAAATAACTTTATATAGAAGTCATTTCCTACACCTATAGCCGGAGGATAAATTCCCAGAGAAGGGGCTGTGCAACCAAGAGTAAATGTATTTATAATTGTGATAGATTTTGCTAAATTGCTCTTGCTACTGAGGTTGTGCCATTTTGCAGGGACAGCCTCGGCCTCTGATTTGCTTTGATGCAGGACTCAGTTAAATGAGGTTGCCTGGTTGCATTAACGCTCCCTTAAAAGAGCTTTGTCTGAGGACAGAGCCTTGCCCTCCTCTTTTAGAACACCTGCCTTCAGGGCAGCTCTCC